CTTGACTATGATTAGACTTGGTTTTGTCCTCGACTATGATATCTTGACTCATTAAGTCATCATACACACTCCATATTTGACTTTATATAAGATACGTATTTTCCCATTCACTAAAGTTAGACCCAAATTCAGACTCAATTTAGTCCTCAACTATGTCATTTGGGCATATTTCAAGTGTACAACAAATGTCCTTTTAAAATGAGAAATATGAATGAGGACTCATTGAGACTAAACTACAAACTCAAGAACCATAATCAAAAATACTGTCTTAGACTAAATTGAGTATTAGCATCACAATGATAGCACTCGTGTGGAAGGTCATTTCACTTCACATTCCATGTTTCAAATTTAATGCTACAACAAATGAATATAAGTCAACTTCTTAGCTCTTTCTTTTCAAACACTTCTACATCGGCGCACATGCGTATATTTGATTACAACAACCCAATAAGGTCCTACAACACCACAAGTGGGACCTGGGAGGATACTCTACCCCAGCATGTAAAGGCTAGAGATTTTTTTTTTTGAAAGACTCCCAGCTCAAGAAGTATATATATGTGATAACACATGTAATGATGTAAATATAACATCCAAACAATTGTACATATATGTCATTGGAATAATGGATGAGAACCTTTACTGCACTCCCAGATTCCTCTAAGCTTGATAGAAAAGCATGGGTAAGAAAGGGATTAAATTGCTGAGGGCCAGTTGCATCAAGACTGCATGCATCCCATTGTTCTGCTGAAACTTCTGAGATAGAGGAAGCCACAGAAATGGATATCTTCTTTTCGGAACTGTCCGAGTCTCCCTAACATTAATTTCAACACATTACCATTTGAAAGGACAATAGAAAACAAACATCTAGTCTTCGGGATTAATATATGAAATAACCTTTGATCCTCTCCCCTTCAAAGATAATTCCCCCAATGTAAATTCATTCCTCACCGCAGGCTGTGTGGTTTTCCTTGGACCCCAAAAAAGTGCTTTTACATTGAATTTACAACTCGAAATGCTGAAAAATCGCCCAGGACAGGATTTCCGCTACATTATGAAAATTAAAACAATGGAGCTAAAAGAGTCACCATTAACAATTTTTTTTGGACACATAATGGACCAAATCAAAACAGCACATTAAAGCCATTGCTTCTTATTTTCTCTGAAATTTGGACAGTAAATGCATGAATGCATGTTTGGTCACTGCAACAGTTCTCTCTGTTTTCACAAGGTAAGATTGAGTACAGTCACACCAAGCTTCACACCATATGTTTCAAAGACATGCATAGAGACAATCATTGTCTGTGAACGTCATTAAAACACATGGGGTGAAACTTGGGTGTTAAACTAGATTTACCCCTTCCTCAAATTAAAGTTTTTCCAATACTAAACGGTGTATTTGCAGTGAACTAGTCCAAATGCTTCATAAATTACATATCAAAAAGCAATTAGAGGAGGGAACATCAACCAATCTACAGAACAGCGATTAATTCCCTAGATGCTGAATTACTTCATAGAATATGAGTCGGAACATCTTATTCAAGGCAAGAAAATCTAAACAGGAAACCGATTACTGTCAATAATAACGTCGAAACAATGATGAGTAATTTATGAGTATATTCAGAAGTGAAACAGAAACCACAAAAGGAGTATGCGGGTGTGGCTTGTGTGGAGTGTGAACAGGTAAATCATGGAGAGAACATTAACCGCGTGAAGTGACTTGTCACCGAGAAACAGAAAAATCGCCGGCGCCGCCGCGGCCGCTGCCATGAAAGATTGAAGGCCGTCCCAGGCTAGGCAAGACGGACACTTCCGTATATCATTTGACTCAAATACTGAAACACTCACTTCATTTCAAAATAATAATGTACGGAGTAGTATTTATATTACTAGTATGATATTTTCATGTTTTTATTTATTTATTTATGTAATTTCATTTATCATGGAGTATTTGATAAGATAAAATATTTTTCATATCAAATTTTACATAAGATTTTTTATATAATTTTAAAATATATAATTTATACGAAGTACTTACTTTTTATTCTTGTACTTTTTGTGTGGTAGTCATTTCATTGAATTTGTGGGGTTCTCTGGCTTAAAAAAATTAGTTTTTTGAAAAAGTTATCTACATGTAGCTTTTGATATTTGTATTTTTAAAGTGATATGTATCGTTAAAATTTTATTCAAAACGCTAAACTAATCTCTAACGTTATTCTTAAATAAGCGCAACATCTTAGATTTTTTAACTGATGACGTCTATCACCCTGTGAGAATGGTGTTGGACGATGCAATGCCCCATCAAATCACCCACTACACCTCGTCTAAGTAACTTAATTTTAAATTATATTTTACAACGTAAATCACAATATCAATTTCTTTTTAGGATGGTGGAAATATTTTTTATTTAATTCTATTGTAGTAATTAAAATGTATATATTTAATAAAATATTTAGTTTTTAAGTGTTTCAATATAAAAAAAATGTATAGATATATATTTTGTACATGCTTACATTATTCTAATAAAAACTAACACGAAGTCGTTTTTTAAAAAAATTATATTTGTGAGGGGGCGTTGCGTAATAAGCAAGATAATAGGCCATATAGCTTCCGTGCCCCCTGTGGTTTGAAAAATTGGCACTAATACCTCATCTGTTTTCAAAACTTATTTCTTAAGTCTCTGCATTTTCCTGCGAAGAGTGGACATTAACGTATAATTTCTAAATCATATGGGGCATTCGTGCTCATTTATTATTTTCGTTTATTATTCTCCCTTTTTAAAAATATTTTCTATCTCTTTTTCCTTTTCCTGCATTTTTTAAAAATATTTTTTCAATTTTTATAATGTTTCAAAAAATTTAAAATTTTGTGTTTGAAATAAAAATAAAAATAAAAAAATTAACACCCATTAAATCTATCTTAAATTAAACATGTTTACTTTTTGTTACTTAGAATAATTTTTTGGAAAGTTCAAAAAAAACCCAGAATAAAAAATTAAAAATATGGAAAAACAAAATGAAAAAAATTAAAATACGCAAAAAAAGTCTTATACAAAAAAAATTAGACACGCCTAAAAAAATCCTTAGAATTAATATGTCCAAAAAGGATATTCATTTTTATTTTTGTATTATTTTGTTTCTTATTTTATTCATCATTTTCTTGAAGTTCTAAAAAAAATTAACTTTTTTGCAAAAAAACAAAAATTGTTAATTTGAGACGTACATATGCATTATATCTTAATTTTTTCTAACAAAAGTAACTTAAAATTTTAAGAAACATTATAAAAATAATTTTAAAAAAAAAACCTTTATTAATAAATGAAACAAAAAAAGGAAAAAATGGAAAAAAATGCAAGAAATACAAATCAGCACTGGTACCCCCTATGGTTTAAAAAACATGCACCAATGCCCCCTCTTCGCCAGAAAAATGGCTGGAAAATGATCAGAGGGGGCACGGGTGTAACATTTTGAAACCACATGGACTTAAAAAGTGAGCTTTGAAAACAGATAAGGTATTGATGTTTGTTTTGCAAACCACAATGGATACCGGCATTATTTGGCCTAAGATAATATAATGAATGTCAAGAGGGTATAGTAGGCTCGAATTCAATTTTTGACAAATGCTTTAAAAAATGTTAATATAAGAAACATTCCCAGAGCACAACCACAAGCTTGATATTTTGGTTAAATTGGTTTCTTGACATAGTATTGAAGCCCGGCCTGTTGGCTAAGAGGTCACAAGTTTAAAATTTAGCGGCACCCAATTTACAAAAAAGACTATACTAAGTACTTTTATTCAACCTTACTTTTTTTCCTATTCATTGAGCGTGTTTCAAGAATTTATATTAATATAAAATATTTTTGACAATGACATAATAAGTTTACAATGAATTTTATAATTTTGTTAGTTTGTAAGATTTCGAAAATATTATAAAGTTGTACTTTAAAGTATTTTATTTTTTATAAAAAATAAGTCACATTTCAAAGTATCTAAAACTCTTAATTGAAATATTACACTTAATTTTTTTGAAATAATTCTAGTTTTTAGGTTCTTATTGAATGACGGCAATTATAAAAAGTAATGAAAATCAATAAAACAATACAAAGTACACTTACAAGATTGTATTAAACTAAGAATAAAAAACAAAAGTACAAAGTTGTATTTATAATAACATATCATAGGTAATAAAAATGAGAAAGAAGTAGGATAATTATAATTCTTTAATTTCTTTCTAGTCCGACCCAGAAGTTATTTGTTCTTAAAATCAATGGATGAAAATTATACCGGTCCTCAATCTTTAAACTAAAAATCGGTCTAGAATTAGCCCAATTCAATTTTTTTGCCCAATTCGATGGCGGTCTGCTCTTCAAATCTGACTTGGATTTTGTCCCTTAACTATAGCGGGTAAAAATCCTCTAAATATAGTAAAAGTATTCGTAATTTCACTTTCACAATTTAAAAAAAAGTTTGAAAAGTTACAAGTAAAACTTTAGTGTGAGGATTTGTTTAAAGGTTTTTTTAACCTTTAAATATTCAAAGTAGATTGTTGTGATTGATACATGAAAATGGAAAGAAAATATGGAACAAATTGTGCCCCTAGCTAACCTTTTTTAAATAATAAATTTAGGTATTTTGAAAATTACTTCATATATTAATAGAATTAGGGATCATAACTTAATTATACAAGACTCGTACAACTCACTAAGCAATATCTTTTTGTAGACAATATAATGAGTAAAAAAGTGATTAATTACTCATTACTATGCTCGTATTATTATTATTTTTGAATATTAATAAATCTATTACAAAAAAATATTTCTTCATACATTTTCAATCTATTAAAACTCATAGAATTATGTTTTCATCAGGAATTGAACACATAACTTCCGTTCGAGAGAATCATAGAGGTGTCATCGAACTACTTGGTAATGGCTATCACTATTATTTTTTTTTCTTGGGAAACTATATTTTAAGGGTAGATTTGTGATTGGCAACAAAAAAATAAAAAAGAGATAACTTTATTGAATGCCAAAGCTCCATCAAGAACAAGGACAATATAGTCAAACCACAACAAACCACCATCCAAGGAGTGATAGGCATTACAAATCATCCTTCACTCTAATGGGTAGTAGTAATAAAAAGATTAAAAAAACTTAGCATCGAAATAAAATAAAAATAAACGATTAACCCCACCTTAAGACATGAAAAGTCTAAAATGCCCCCACCAACCCAACACCCCACCCATCGATCATCCCATTTCACTCTTCAGCCTTCTCCGCGGGAACTTCACTCCCGGCGGCGGCGGCTTCCTCCACAACCTCTTTCACGGCGGCAGGGGCGGCTTCCTCGGCTGCCGGAGGAGCCGGAGCTTCTTTTTCCACTTCTTCACTCTTGGCTTCAACCACCGCCGGAGTTTCCTCCGCCGCCGCGGCTTCTTCCTTGACTTCCTCGACGGCCGCCGGCTCCTCTGTTTTCTCCTCTGCTTCCACCACCGGCTCGGCTTCCACTTCCGCTTCGGGCAGTGGTGTTTCTTCCGCTGGCTTTTCCGCCACGGGCTCCGGCTCGGCGGCGGCTGGTGGAGCCGCTTCCACCGCTTCCGTGGGTTCCACGACGGCGGGGCTCACCTCAACCTCTGTTTTAACACTCTCTGTGATTGGTGCTGGAACTGATTCAACCTGCAATTAATAATTTAACGAAAAAACTTAAGGTATAAAATTGTTTTGGCATGAAGATTTATGAGTTAATTAATACAAGTTTTAATCATATATACCATGATTTTTACACAAAAATAATCCAATGAAAAAATATAAATTTTTAATAATTATAGTAAAAAAAATTGATGTAAGGATAATAAGCTTAGGCCTTGTTTGGGGTCTGCATTTTTTATTAGCATTAACGTTTTGGAAACAATTTTAATGGTGTAGATTAATTCTGAAAATGTTAACGCTAAAGGGTATCGTAGGATAACATTTTCAAAACGTTAATGCTAAAGTTGATGCCAAACACGACCTTAGTCTAATATTTGTACATTTATTTATAGATTTTTTTGTGTAACGTGTATATATGAGCTATGTTATTGGGGTGCATGATCATACTTTCTCTTGTAAACTTTAAGACAAGAAAAAAAATTATGGAAAAAAAAACAAATGATCATAAAGAAAAATGATGAATCTAATGAGGAAATTAAAAGAAGAAGAAAAATAAGGTGAAGCTAAGATCACCTCAACAGAAGCCATTTTTTTAAGTGAAAAGGAGAAAGAAAAAAAATGAAAGAAGAGAGTGATCGAGTGATGAGGGGGAATGAAAGGTGGCTAAGTACTTATGTGAGATTGTGAATTAGTTGATGATGGGATGAGAAGAAATGTGCTATATGAGAGAGCTTTATATAGGACTCCAAAACCCACTTTATTTCATTTTAAATGTAATATAAAATAATTTAATATTTAAAAATAAAAAAATGAAAAGTGGAGAATATGTGGAATTAATTAAAGAAGGGATAGATGGGATCTATACATAAAAGAATGTGTGGATCATTAGACAACTCATGTAGTCACTGGGCATAAAGGGAGTACAGATCAGATTTAAGGTGTTGTCTAGTTGTATATGTTTTCATGTTATTAAATTTTATATGCCCCTCGAAAAAATAAAATATTATTTCCATTCTTTTTTTAAAAAAATAAATTTATGGTTGAATTTCACGAATTTTAAAAGATCGTTAAATTTTCTCCATCATATACTCCGTATTTAAGTCGCTTTATCCTTTTTTATGAAAAGAAAAAGAAATATTTTCACTAAATAGCACTAAAACTTAAGTCATTTCTCTAAATAGCACTTAAATTGTTTTATTCCCTAAATAACACTTAATAATGTCCATAATGTCCAGTGATGGTGGATATTTACTTGAATAATGACTAATGCATAATGACTAAGAGTGTTACATTGAGAAGAAAAAACACATGTGGTACTATTTAGAGAAAGTCCTCAAAGAAAAATAAAAGGTTCACAATGAGACGGAGAGAGAAAAAAAGGAAAAAGCATTTTTTTGGAAGTGAGAAAATATTATTATACTCCATTATGCTGCATGTATGTGCACATGGAACATATATTATTTTTTCTTTCTTAAAACTTTCTTTATTCTAAAAAAAACTTTCTTTAGGTTCTGTTGGAGTTCCCACATCAGAAAATAAAGATAAGTATCACTTGCATATATTGAAGGATGAAGCTCTACCTATCAGCTTAAGCTTTTGGGTTAGGATTGTGGATATCGACTTTATATGCAAGTGGTTAATTTTACCCGACACTCTATCCGTTGTTCTCGGCCCGCCGGAATTTTAACATGGTATCAGAGCAGGTCCGGTCCGGGTTTGATTGTTCCTGGTTGTTTGGGTGTGGGTTTAGCAAAAATGAGCTACCCGTATGTGGTTTGGGCTGAGTTGCTAAAAAGAGATTGAGATGCCACCGCCAGTTATGTGGGCTAGCTATAAGAGATTGCGATGCTAGACCCGTTTGTCCAAGTGCTAACTAGGCCAGGCTAGTTACCACTTGCGGGGGAGTGTTGGAGTTCCCACATCGGAAAATAAAGATAAGTATCACTTGCATATATTGAAGGGTGAAGCCTTACCTATCAGCTTAAGCTTTTGGGTTAGAATTATGGATCCCGACTTTATATGCAAGTGATTAATTTTACCCGACACTCTATCCGTTGTTCTCGGCCCGCCGGAATTTTAACAGGTTCGACTCCACATGTTCATAAAAAAATAAAATTGTATAAGTGTGTTTAATTTTAGAAATAATAAAAAGAATATCAAATACACAAATTGGAAACCGTATTTTAAAAATGAATTGATACTTAAAAAAAAGCAACCAAAAACTAAGGGAAAGTGGAAAGAAAATTTTAAAACACATGTTTTATAAAGAAAAAAAATACTCCGTAGATGGAGATAAATGTTAACATATCTAGCATGGATCCCTAAAAAGTGAGTGTTCTTTGGTGCACTTTCAGCGCAAACCATTTTTCTAGACTTTCTCACATAAAAAATACTTTTTTATTTTTTAATTAAAAAAATAGATATTTATTTAAGTAATAAGAAAATGTTTATTTTACTCATATGTAAGTCAATGGTGGACCTTAGGTCCTATCCAGAGGCGGATCTAGGATTTTAAGGCCATGGGGTCCCCTACCTAACTACCTTCCATTCTCATGTCAAACTACTTCATAAGTACATTTAACAATAAATTAAAACAAATATTTTAAGAGTACCATAAATCCATAATTAATACATATAAATAAAGTCATACGTTTACAATTGTACTCGTCTAGTTTTCATACTTTGGAAGTGATCTATAATTACATCATCACTAATGGTGGAAAAAACATCTCTCCCAACATAAGTTACTAAGCAGTCATTCAAGCATTGATCACAAATTTTATTCCGCAACTCATTCTACACGAACTTCATTCCCGAAAAAGACCGTTCAACACTTGATGTTGCCATAGGAAGTATCAATGCCAACTTTATGAGAGTATATACAAAACCGTACGTAAGAGACTTTTTAGTGGAAACCATTTTCACTGAGAGCTCAACAATACTCTTTAATGAATAAGTAATGAATAAAAAATAAATGTATAAATTATTATATATTACTAAATACTAATCATATATTCATATATCAAACTTCAAAAATCAAAATTCAACTACCATAAAAATTAATTTTTAGTAAAATAAAGAAAAAAATTTACCTTACCGCTGAGTCGCTGACGGGAGTGAGTGAGTGACGGAGTCTAGAGACGGGCAGAAGCTTTAGGGTTCCACATTCAAAAGTGTAAACTAAAGAATTGGGGAAGAGAGGAGAAATTTACAGAGAAAATGGGGAGAGCAAAACGACGTAGTTTTGATGCTTTTAAAGAAAAAAAATAACTAAGAAATTGACTCCAAAACTTACCGCGCCAGGAGTTGAACCTCCGTCACAAGGGAGCACGTGCAAGGTGCACACCGCTGAACCAAACGCACTTTTGTTTACAATTTGACAAGCGTTGATTATATATTATTATTACTACATACCTAATACCTATATAGACCTACACCGGGTTCCGTGGGGTCCCGGGACCCAATAGGACTCAAGGTGGGTCCGCCTCTGGTCCTATCATATAATTATTTGCCCTAAAAAGTTGAAAATGTAAACAAAGAAAATATCACACCAATACTTTCAGATTTGGCCGATTTTATAATATTTTCAAATTGTCTACTGCACACAAATACTCCAAGAAAAATATAGATTTTGAATCGCTACTCTAGCCCAACTGCTCGACAGAGTCAGTTTCAAGCTTAATTAATTTCGTTGAATTATTTTTACGGATATGACATCTGAAATGATTAGTTGACGGCATATCTAAAGTAATTAAATTGCATATAATTTAGACTTCTTTGAATAACTTAATAAAATTCAAATTACGCCCAATTTAACTTCTTTACTTTAGATGTATTGTCAACTAATTATAATTTTTGGTGTCATGTCAACTAAAATAATTTCACATAAATAAACTTGAAGCCGACTCAATCAAACTGAGGTAACAATAATATTGACTCGTAAAAGTAAATCTACAGATAATATTGTATGATTGTCTAAATCTTTGAGTATGTATGTTGATGTGAATTTGTCCAAGATATAAAGGCAAAAAGAATTAATGAAAATTATATTCTTTTTTAGTAACAATGCGCAATAGTGACAAAAGGATTGACACATGAAACCTAACTCAAATTAAATGACTTAAAAATGACTTAAAAGACTTTTACCAAACGAGCACTGTTTTAATATACAATGGCATATTGTTTTTAAGTAGAGTGGCAAATTAGTGAAATTACTAGGGGTATATTGTGAGTGGATTTCTATTCGTGTATTTACAATTTTACATAGTACTATGACTATCTCATCACACAATAATTAAATTTAGAAAAAATTGATAAAAAAATAAATTGTGAAAATCGTGTTCCACAAAATTCTCTAATGAAATCATTTTTGCATTAATATAAAATGTAATCTTTCTTTTAATGTTAATAGTTAAAACTAATAATCTAGGTTTACCAAAAAATTGAGCTGAATGGATATAATACGCGTACTAGATTTGCTTCGCCCCAAAAAAATTAGAAGAAAAAAAATTATCTCTCATTTTCGGTATTAATCCCTTTGTCTATATACATTAACTCTACGTTTATATTCGATTCATTTTTGTAATTCAATAAGGGTTAATAATGTGAGTCAAGTCTTAATTTATTTTATACCGATGAGTCACATTTTCATGACTACGTATATATAGCCATATAGGTAAGTGGTTGTATGTCCAAACGCCATTGTCTATACTCTATGGGGGGAAAATTGGCAATGTCACATGGTGGTGTCCATTTTAATTACTATATACGGATATATATATATATATATATATATATATATATATATATATATATATATATATATATATATATATATATATATATATATATATATATATATATAAATTGCAACCATATCATCTAGTGTTTTGTGCAGTGAGGGCTTGGAAATCTAATGGTTTTTATAAGTTATTTTATTTTACTATGGAAGTTTTAGTTGTGGAGTTGGTAAGTTTGTGTGTCAATCCTTTATAATGGATCAAGATTTCGTTCATTAATATTATTTTGTAAGAATTTGAAAGGAATTATATATTATACCATCCATGCATGATCCATCCACAAGAAATGATGCATGAATTTGTACATGGAAGAGAAAGTTTAGAACCTTTAGCATTCATTTGGTTGGACTATAGTGGAATAGATAGGTGGGAGTGGATGCTATCTTTTTTAAAAATGTGGAAATATTTTGGTCCCTCAACTATGTTTATTGCTCTAATAATCTTAAATTAGATATAATTTTTGCATTTTGATCGAAAAGTATATATTATTATCTAGTGACAATGAATAATCTTAGAACTGCTTAATTTTAATTTTGATCATTAAAATAGAGTTAAAACAATAACATTGATGGAAAACGATGTTTCCAAATAAAGATTAATAAGTAGATTTAGATTTAAGGTAAGTTAGTTTTTTTAAGTAGCCCATCTAATAAACGTTATAGTTACTATTCTCATATTTTGATTAGTTTTGTTTGTTTAAATATTTCTATTGATCATTTAATAAAATAAAATATTTTTTTTATCACTGATTGATTGGTAGAAGCTTTGACGAGTTTTTAAAAACGTAATTTGTAAATTTTATTTCTGTATCAATTTGTAAATAAAATATTTTTTAAATGTTAAAATTTTGTATGTTGTTCAAAATGAGACGATAAATTAGAAACATATGGAGAATTATTATTTTTGAAGATGCAGATGATTTATTTATTGTATATTCTTTTTTTTTTACGTAAAAAATATACGGCTAAAAATTAGCTGGAAATTAATTAAACAAAAAAAAGCTTAACGAAATTAGAATTGCTTGAACTATATGATTGTAATTATAATTATACTACTTAAAAAAAGTGATTGTAATTATAAAGTAGTGTTGAACTGAAATGGATCTAACTTAATTGAATAAAAGATAAGTAAAATATTTTGACTACATGTTTTGGTCATCATTAGTAGTTTTTTTCTAAGATAAACACACAATTTAAATGTACATTAAGACAAAAATAAGTATACACAGATATTCAATATTTACGTGTGTACATAAATTAAGTGTCTGTGTATATCTATTTTTGTGACTTCGCAAAAGAAATTCCCCAAACATTTTCATTACAATTTAATTGAGATTTGGAGCGGAAATAAAAAATGAGTTTACAAATTAAAAAATTCACAAACTTTTCAAAATAAAGAAGTTATATGACAATATTATTTATCAATTGGATAAATAATATTGTCAAGACATTTTCCCAAAAGAGATTCCCGAGACATTTTCCTTTCCAAGACTCAATTCAAAAGCAAAGATCCAAGGCATAAAAACGGGCATGACATGATAAAAAAAAAAGCATGAGGGGGATGGGAAATGTTTCATGAATTCGGGTAAAATAAGGCCACTTGTGATGATGACGTCAGGGGGAAGGCTCCAAAAGAACGTGACACATAGGCCGGTGGGTTGGGGCCCACGGCTCACAGGGCAGCGATCATTACCGTGAGTGCATCTGACGTGGCATGTCCCTTTAATAAGAAAAAAAACCATTACTCCCTCCGTCCCAAATTATTTGTCACATTTGTATTTTCGGGGTAAAATATCAAGTTTTTTCAATTCATTTTATTTACATATTAGTATAGAAATAAAAAATAAAATTTACATATAAAAAAACTACATAAAAGTTCTTCAAAATAAGTGGTGACAAGAATATTTTATTTTATCAAATAACCAATGAAAATGTCGAAATAAACAAAAGTTCTCGCGACTGCTGAAAAAGCAAATGTTGTAAATATTTAGGGACGGAAGGAGTATTTTCCAGTCAGGTCCTGTGGCCATTTTAACGTGAAATAAGGATTGGCCACTGTGGCATGTGGGTCCCACGCCTTGCCAACCGTTTGGTGCTTTCCAGATAGCGCTTGTCCCGCAGTGGGCCCCCTCCTTCACGCCGTCCTCATTCTTCTGCCACGCTGGATTTTCCATTTTTTGCAATTGGTAACAGCTAAGACACGTGTCCGCATTACCATTTACGGTTACTTTTAACCATTTCAAAATGTTCCCTATCTCTCCCTTCATCCTTAAATATTCTTTCTGTTTTTATTTTCCAAAATTAGATTAATTTTAATTTTAATTTTTATTTAATTTATTTGAGTCTAGGTCTAAAATTAAAAAATAAAATTTATATATTGATAAACTAAATCAAAAGTTATACGGAGTATAAAACTTGAGATGACAATACTATATTATTTTACCACATAATTAATGAAAATTGGTGAAAAAAGTGGTTAAAGTTTTACTGTGTGAATAGTTATTAGAAAGAATATTTAAGGATGAAGAGAGCATTTAATAACCATATTTGGACATTATATTTTAAAATTAATATGTAACGTCATAAAATTATCTAATATAATCTTACCAAACGTGTCCTAGATCTGGTTAAGATTTGTTGAACTCTGCATTAGTTTAACTTTTTTAAAATACTGTCTAATAATTGTACATTTAGATCTAATATTTTGAAAACTAATCTTTCCAAACATTGACTATGTTCTTTTATATTCCATAAAAAAATTCCATAATAAATTAAATTAATGTTTCAAAAGAATGACTATGTTCTTTTGTATTCAATAAAAATTTGTTATACTATGAAAATGTTCGAGAATGAATTAGAAGTGGCTAGAAAGAGTTTAAAAAACTAAATTATGAAAAGTTAAAAGAATTTTAAATAAGTAGGCTGATTTTTTGTGGTACATTCTTAGGTTTACATTTATTTTATAGAGGACTGTATGAAGTTCAACATTTAACAAAAAAACCTTACAACCACAATTGCACAACTAATTAAAATATATCGTGCTCCATTGATGTAATCATTCTGTCTCTTTTCTCTAATAATCCACTTTTTTAATTGTTTCAAACCATGCTTAGTATTATTGTGTGATCAGATTGTACCTGACCAAAATTGGCGTGACTTGTTTTTTTACTTGAAACTCGACAAAAAAATAATGGATTTCAAGAAAATATTTTTTTAACTAAACATGAAGATGACCGAACTCCAAATGACCTGCTAAAATGGGTCGAATCCGATTAAACTTGAATTCAATGTGACCAACCCGCTAAAATAAGAGTTTTTCAAATTGTGTACTTTAATATGAAAAATAATGTAATATAAATATGGTTTTATTTTTATTTTTTAATTATTACTTATTTTAGTGTGTGTGTAAACATATATTCCAAACAAGTTTTTAATGATATCACGTAGCTATCTTATATTTTTTGAAAAGTGGTACACATTTAATTTTAATTTTTATATTACTCGTAACATTGTTGAATTTAAAAAGTAATTAAAAATTAAAACAAAATTTTCTAAGAGGTTTAATATACATACGTAATTTGGGGCGTGGCAGAATGTCAATCTTACCTTTTTATTATGTGTATTTTTTAAATAAATTGAAATTAAAAATGATAACAATGTAAAAAATGTAGAGACGGATTTTCAGAGCGATAAAATAACCAAATTTTAGGACGAGACTAAAAATTAATAGAATGCTGATGTTGCAGGAGTGGGGCAGAATTGTAAATGCTATTAGAAGCTCATCTATTGCACCAGAGACCAGTAAATTGGACAGAGGGAGCACTATATTGATTGATTAATTAGTGCAGTATTAGTATGGAGTACGGAGTATTACGCATTGGAATTCTTCTTTTCTTCCATCCTTTTCACAACTTTTATAGCCTTATCTTAGACTGAATTATTATTTCTCTTTGAAAGCGATTCAATAATTTACTATGTTCCATAAAATTATTTTTATTTTCGACCGTACTCCTCCGTCCCATAAAATCATTTAAAAACAGAAAAAAGTTACACCATAAAATATTAATATTGATAATATTTTCTAAATTTATTTCAACTTTATAGTAATAAAGTAGAATATGATGTGTATATTAGATGAGTCATATAATTTAAAAACAATATCAAAATTACCTATTTTTTGAGCATATTCTTTTTTATTATTGAAAAATTTTATAAGAAAGAGAAGGCTAATTAAGGAGCGAATGCAAGAATTCGAGGGCGAAACGACAATAATAATGTGTGTTGTATATATAAAGTAGGGTGAAACAACAATATATAATGATGTTTGGTTTGTGGACGTGGGAAATATAAGCAAGGTGTTGTTAGTTTCATTATTCACTCTGTCTCTAAAAGATTGTCACATTTTAATTTTTTAGTCAAACTGTAGCACTTTTTAACAATGAATTAAATATAATTTAAAATAATTAAAAATTATAAAGATTAGATATTTCAAAATTATATTTTACAACAAATCCAATTTACTAAATTTACATTATAACTAAACATATTTTTTCATAACTCATAGTCAAAGGGTGCTATAACTTGACAAAAATTCAAACTATGACAATTTTTTAAAAAACGGAGTAAAAAATTTAAAAAAGGGGAGGGAACAGGGGCAGGGCATGCAGAATGAATGTACGTATGGTGGGTGCAAGAACCGAACCCACTGCTTCTGCTATACGTACTGGAATTTGGATTTTGGAAGGGTGTGTTTGGCTTCCCCATTTGGATGGGAAAAGTAATTGTGTCGGGAATTAATTAATCGAATAGATGAGTTAGATCTGGTTTTAACTATCTCGTCATCGATTTAGTAATGAATAATTAATATTTTAATTGTGTTACTATGTATTAGTGTACTACAGAGTATATTATGGAAAAGAAATGATAAATGATCTTTTCTCAATTTTCTCACTAAAATATGGGAAATTCTGTTTTTTCTCCTCATAGTAAATTTTATTTTCTCATTTTTTTCCTTCTATTTTTATTTTCTTTTCCTCTTTATCCAAATAAGAAAAAAAAAATTCTATCTTGTTTTCTTTTCTTCTCTTTCAAAATCTTTAAACCAAATATGGGTATAAAAGAACACAAATGATAATATTAATGTGTGAGAGACCAAAAGAGAAAAGGGACTCATTTGAAAACTATTTCACTCGCCAATTTAGACGTTTTGGACTGATAAATAACTATTCAGAGTTTCTACGTGAGACCAATCAAAGAGACTTGCCACTTCATCGGTTTTGAAAGCAAGCTCAAATTCTTAAAAAAATTGAAAAAATGGATGTTATAAAAAAAAATGTTTGAGGTGCACCACCAAGCCACCAAGGTCTACCCCATGTCCTCAAATTGGATGCCATATTTGAATGTGCAAATCTCTTATGAAAATTCCAAGCTTGCACTTGGAGCATTGTTTTCCTTCACCCTTTGTGCACAAAAGCAAATCTTTCTTTGAGAAGAATACTCAAATCTTTATCCTTCAACACACAAAGTATACATCTCAATCTAATTCCTTGATTTTCTTTCTTTCTTTCTTTCTTTCTTTCTTTCTTCCTTCAATCGTTGTGTCCATTTTCTTATGGGTTTGGTCTCTTTACCATTTCCTCACACAAATGGTTCTCTTTTTCAAAAACCAAACTACACTTGGTTTGATTCTGGTTCGGGTTATTTCGGTTTGGTTCTAACCGAAATGCCCACCCCTTTTGTGCAACACAAGATGTTCAAAATCAATCACTACTACAAACTCTGTTAGTGGATACTTCTTCACCATAGATGATACAGTACAAATCCTACATCTGGCAACTTACACCTAGACCGAGGCATTCGGCATCATTCGTGCCTTAAATGAATACATATTTAGCCATATGACCACAATACATGATTAGGGTTGACACTAATATTCTTAACCAGCTTAGTAAACTAAAAGAAGATACAGTTCAGCTTCAGGTCTGGCCATCTGCAAAACAATACAAACGTCACGAAAAAACATAGTAAAATTTAAGATAAATGTGTAGGAGTTTATAAATCGACATTTAACAGAAGATATTTGTGCAAAATGAAACAACTTGAAAAACTCCTTTTTTGAAGGGTGAATTTAATTAATTGATTACCATTCTCTGGTGCAGAGATCATTGCGGATGGAACAGATGATCGCGCACCAACTTCTCATGTATTTCCATGGTAGAAATGCTTTTGCATCCAAACAGCTCCTGAAGTTTCGCATCACATTGAATCACTTTCGAATCTGTAGAGTCCTATGATCAGACAAGCAAAACAATAGATGACAATAAAGATGTTACCTTACTGACCGGCAAAGATATGATATAAAAAGTTGTGATATGAATGTATGAAACAAGGTTGCACGTATGGAGGAAGAGACTAATTTCTAAACAGGAAGACCAACATGATTTTGTTTTTATTTATCATTTTTCTTTGGGTTAAAAATGCATATATCTAAAAGTACATGGGTCTTTGCGCCAATTCACCAAAAATTGCAGGAGGTAAAAGCTCTTTTTACACAAGTTAAGCACCACATTCTGTTTTGCCAGTCTAGATGTACTGCAGGCATGCAGTAAATTCTTTGAATTATTACACAAACTCATTTAAATAGTTAATAAGCATGCAGTAAAATACTGACATGTACTTTGCTTATAACTGGGAGAGTGAGATTTGAATAGAATGCCTAGCAAAAGCTGTTTTGCCAAATAGCTGCATGTGCAAATCTCTTACTAAAATTCCAAACTTGCAGCTAGAGCATTGCTTTCCTTTACCCTTTGCACAAAGGAAACCTTCCCATGAGAATACGTACAATCGTCTCCCTTTAATACACAAAGTATACATCTCACTATCAAGAATTGAATTCTTTAAAGTATTTTCTTATGGGTTTGGTTTCTTTACCATTTCCTCCTCACCCTAAAATGGGCACTAAATGGTTCTCTTTTCCATCTCAAGAACCAAACCCGTATTTTCTCCTCTTCAAAACAGGCTCTTATAAATCTTTTGGAACTCAAACTGATAAGGTTTCTTCTTGTCAAACAATCTTCTCTGCTAAGAAGAGACTACTACCAGTAGCATGCAGTAATTCTCATGAAGGTTTACAAAAAGATGGGAAAGCAGTGGAAGCAGTCCTCAAACTTTATGTTGCAATTAGACAGAAAAACTTGCACGAACTTGCTAATATAATCGGAGAAGAATGCCGATGTGTTAGCAATTTTGCTCACAAGTTGAGACCTTTCCATGGTAAGAAGGTAAGACTATTGCTTATCTAGAAAGGTTTTCATCCCCTTTGGTCTCCTGACTAATAAATTATCCTGACTTTGGTCCTGGCTTTCATGTTTCTCAATTTCAGTGTATGATTATGAATTTCTTGCCACTATTGATATTTTTGGGCACTTATTTGTCAAATACTAACAAGGAATTGAAAGAACATTTGCTCTATAAGTGGTCCAAAGAACCAAATGTGTCAAGAAAGTTATACCCGTGCACTGAAAATAAAAAGGATGGATACAAGAACCAAGATTGGGAATGGCCTAATAATAGTGTGACGAATTGTGAAAAATGTTGATTTCATTATTTGTTTGCATTAAGTAATCAATTCATCCTCGTCATTTTCAGTCACTTGACTCACTTATATGGCAAAATCCAACACAAAATTGTGTAGAAATTAGCCACATTAGTGATCAGAAGTGAGAACTAGGAATGACTTATAGTCATTGACAAATAGTAAAAAAACCCACATTTGGTCCCACGAGTCCAAGACCATTAGGTCCTTTTTGTCCCTTTCAACTTTTTGATCACTTGGACATGCACGAATAATGAAAGTTGGAGACTAAAAGTGAGAATGACCTGATAAACATAGAACCAAGAGTGGAAAATTTATCTTTCAAAACGTTTGATGGCCATTTAATTTCTGCAGCAAGTACTCGAGTTCTTCTCGTCTCTGATTAAATCCTTAGGGAACAACATTGAGTTTGTGGTGCAGCCCTCGTTGCATGCTGGAATGGATGTTGGGGTTTCATGGAAACTAGGTAGCCAATCCTGTTTCTCAAAAGGGATGTTTGGTTCATGGAGTGTTACAGTGTGACATTTCTTACGTAATCTAACATCACCGTTATCTTAGGTAATGTAATATTACCTTGGAAATATTTTAGACTATTCCAAGTTAGTCACATCCTGTGAACCAAACATCTTTAGGCAATTCCATATCCTTATAATCTTACATAGAATAATCATATTGCCTGCTCAAGGTAGTCTCAAATTATCTGAACCTAATGGCATATTATGTCTTCAGAATGCAGAAAGACGCATGCTCCTCTGGGAAAAGGTTTTAGCTTCCATATGTGTCATGTCTATCAAGGGAAGGTAATGATAAGGTAAAAAATTTACGTTTGTGGCATGCTACATCTAGTTTTAGTGTGGTGGATGATTGCTGATGCTACTAGCCTACTGCATTCATGTAATCAGGAATGTGGAGATGTTTATGGAGCCACTCTTTCAAATCGAGCCACTTAGATTGGTAAGCAAATAATATTTTTGCATACTCTTAGAGATGTGATCTCAGAAGTGAAAAAGTGTTTTTTGCAGAAAATGATGTCTACTTTGATGCATGCAAAGGAGAAGATGAATTCTCAAATTGTTTTGAGAGATAAAACAGAGAGGAAGATCATGAAGATACTATGTGCTGTTCTCTGCGTGGTGGCATTTATGTTTTTTCTTGTAAACACTAGATGTACCACAAAAAACAGAAAGTGGCTTGGAAGATAAATGCAAAATTCAGAAACTACTGTTCAGAACACAGCAATTTAGCACTGGTGGTTGATGCAAGTATGCAACATGTCATAACAGTTAAAGCTACATCAGCATGCTGAACATGCATTAAGAGGCAAAAGCAGAGACTTAAATACGCATTTTGTCCCAACTCCCAACAAGCAATATTCTTTTCTTTTTTTTTGTTTTTTTTTGCTGAAATTAAAGGTTGCTGTAATTTTTTAAATACATGTGTATTTTGAAACTATTGTTCAGAACACAGAACACAGCAATTTAAACAGGTGGTTGATGTAATGTATCTTAACAGTCAAAGCTAGATCAGCATGTTGAACATGCACTAAGAGGAAATAACTGAGCCCTAAATACACAGTTTGTCCCAACTCCCAACCAGCAGTATTCTTCTTCTTCTTCTTTTTCCATGTGCATACAGCCATACAGGCATGACACATTTAATTCTTCAAAATTTTACAATATGTATAATTTAAATTAGTTAATATGCATGCAATAAATGTATGCAACTGAGAGAGTGAAATTTGAAATTTTATCACGTACCACCTGGTCGTTAACCTTTATATACTCCAAGACACGCTGGAGTGCCTCTGATGGGAGCATCTCTCTTTCTGAAGATCCAAAGAAGTTGGCAAGAGCATCTGATATCATCACGGAGTGCGAGCTAGATTCTGAATTATTTGGTTCCAAATTAGTCTCCACCTTCAATCTTTTAACTTGTCCGGGTTGTTCTGCACATATTTCCATAGACAATGTATAAGGCAGAAAAGCAACTATATTACCCTGCATTTTTTGAATAAAATGTTTTTGTGTGCCAAACACAAGTTCCAGTTTCAAACACAAGAAAATCATCAAAACATTTTTAGGAAAATATTTGCGTTAACAAAGAGAGTCCGAGCATAGGTTTTGTAGATAGAAAGTATACTCGTGGGATCAAGTGGGAGGATATGTTTTGACAGAAGCTTATTCATCTTGAACATATCGGTGCAATCTGTTTCAAAGACTAAGCGCAGGGCCTCATCACAGATGATTTTCCTTTTGTTTCCAGGATCCTGCAGGTTGTGGTTCCTGATGTATGCCCACAGCTGCTTCACAATCTGGTTTGGAAAAGAGGGGTGCATTAGTAATTTCTCCAATCAATCAACCGTTACCTTCAAACAAGGACTTAACCTCGGTTCTAGGAAGTGCCGGCTGACCAACAATGACCTCAAGCTCAGGTGTTACAGCGCAAACTTTGTTCAGCCCACCTGCTCCTCCTCTTCTTTTGGTCCCGGCAGTAGTAGTAGTGGTAGTAGTAGTAGTAGTACTGGAATCAAATGAGCAAATATAGAAGATACTTATTATAGCTCATCAATCACGCTAATAAATTTATCACAAGTCATAACAGCTTATCACTTAACACAGTAGCCTTAACCTTAATCTTCTAAGGTAATCTTTATCTTTCAAATATGACCCTATTAAATGGTACATCATTACAAGCAGTTACCTCAATTACAAGTAATGTTCATTTAATAGGAGCAATTATGGGAAAACAGATTAAATATGCATTGACAAGATAAAAATGACTTATAGATAAGGCCATTCTATACTGCATATAAATAGGAGACTTGAGGGAGTATAATTTTGGGATATGTTCAGATAATTCAGAAAATTCATCCATTTTGCCATCCACTCAGCCAATATTTATCTCATCAAATGGCCTTCATAGACTAAAAATTCATGCGGTAAGAACATTGAAATTCGGGCATTTCATATGTCAGAAATCAGATTAAGAAGAATATTATGTGAAGTGTTATAATATAAGGAAGTAACGGCTCTGACTAATCACTATTGTGTTCTCTAAAACCCTAAAAATTGAATTGCTAGTTTTGCTACCAACTTGAAGGAAGCTTTAGGAACATAAGGCTCTAATTACAAATAATAAAAATTCTATCTCTAATTATCGCAGGAAAAGCACAAATGAAGCCTAAAATTAAGCAAAAACCAACCTTTCCTTGGGAGCAGGAGAGGCATTTTGAACCACATTCTGAGCAGCTGTGACCCGAACAACAGCAGGCCGTGGTGGCGGAGCTGGGGGCACTGGCTGCTGCATCGTCACTTGCCGGATCTGCTGCGGAAGCAGCGGCGGCACAGTGTTGTGCTGGTAGTGCTGCTGCTGCTGCTGAAGGGCAAAGTGGGAATAGAAGTGCTGTTGGGGTTGGGTGGTTTGGAATTGGTGGTGGTGGTTCCGGAGGGCAAAAGGGTACATAGAGTGCATAGGGTTCTGCTGCGGCTGCGCCGGCGTCTTTGATCGGATGAGGTGGATCTGGTCGCTGATGAAGGCGGCTTTGTGAGAGAGGTCCATGCCGAGCTGAGCTTCGAGCTGCTGAACGACACCGTTTAGGGAGATGACGGCGTTAGGGTCTGTCTGACGGAGAACCGTCTCCACCCCTTTCGCTATCTCCTGATCAGACGCCATGGCTTAAAGCTTCACACACACACACACACAGAGTACAGGGTATATACACTTCAACGGAAAGTAACGACCACAAACTGATCTCTCTCTCTCTCTTTCTGTCTCTCTCTCTTCTTTCTTCGTCTTCTCTGGCCCATTTTTTTATTTTTTTTTTCTGTCTATATATAAACCTAAATGACGGAAAACGCCCTAACAATCTAACATATTTCTTTTTTTATCCGTCCCACAAAACACTTCTTATTTCTATTAAAAAGTCACTTTTACCCCTTACTTTTTCATACCTTAACTATCACATCATACTTTTTTACTAATAATCTATCCATCAAATCATACTTTTACCTATCATATCAAAGGACATTTTTGGAAATTTAATACCAAAATACACCCCCCTTAAATCTCTCCTAAAAAGCAAATATCTCATATTTAATAGGACGGAGGTAGTATTTTTAAGGGGAGTATTCGTTTTTGAAAATGTTGAAAAAATAAATAAAATACATGTGATTGTGATTTTTGTAAAGAAAATAGAATTGATATGAATTAGATTTTTTTTGGTGTAATATGAATTAGATATTTATTTCTTTAGAATAAAAAATAAACAATTTTGGAATATTCCAAATAGAAAAGAATGAAGATAATTATGAAATAAACGAGTAGTTTGTAACTTGTAAGCACTCATATTTCATGTTAGTGCACTGGATATAGCTCAAATGATAAAAATCTCAAGTCGTTAGGGTCATTTGAACTAGTATGTTGAGTGGAGAGTTAGAGTCACAAACTTACTGGCATGATTATCAAATATTTTTTTATATGAATTGAGACACATCTTACGATTTATCTCTCTCACCATCCTTGAAGGCACGGGCATGGGGACTCTAGGGTGGGGGCTACACGTTTTTTCTCAAATTCCATGTTAGTGGAATACACTTTCAATTCAACGTCAAATAAAAAAAATGTGATGCTCATTTCGTCCAATAATAAATTTTATAATTTTTTTGTCTGGTCTAGATTAAAATGAATATTAATTCATTAATTTTTAAATCATAATACTACTCTGTATGTGACTCATAATTTTTTCTCTTAATTATTATTGAATCACATAATTTACAAATTTTTGTTTTAACTACATATTATCCGACTAAAATTTAATTATGGACAAGTATAAGAATAATGTAAGTTGGAATTATATAAGTGTAAATCTATAAAAATATAAAAATCTTTCTTAGATTTGATCTACAAATATAAATTAAACTTGAACATATATGGTCAAATTAAAAGAGTTATGGATTATGGATCTCTAACACATGCATAGACAATGCATTATTCATTACTGGCTGGTATATGTGATTGTTAGCTAAGATAAAATGTGGTGGCAAATGTGGAATGTCTTTAATTCTTCAACAATTTCTTTTATATACTATATACTCCCTCCGTCCCAAAAAGATTTACAGCTTTCAAAAAAATTGTGTCTCACAATCTCCTACCCATTTCTATTAAAAGACCACTTTTACCTCTTACATTTTCAAACTCTACCTACCACATCATATCTTTTTCTTTATAATCTACAAGTCACATCATACTTTTACACATCAAATCAAGATTATTTTTGGAAAGTCGATTCAAAATTATCCTTCCTTTAATTTCTACTTTAGTCCAAATGTGCATAGCTTTCTGGGACGGAGAAAGCATAAGTTACATCAAGATAAATTCCATCTCTAATAACTTTGATGTGAATATTATATTTTTTCATAAAATAAGTATTATTCACAATAATGGTGATATTTGTTCATACAAACAAGTATGGAGTAGATGAAAACTACCATGATTTACATGATTAATTGTACAAAGAGGAGTGTTACAGAAACCCTACTTGTGATACACTAAATATACACCAATGTAAAAATAGGCACACACAAATATGAATGTCTATATGTACCTATTTCTGCAACTACGAGATGGAGGCTCCATTCACTGCCACCAATCTTTGATCAAAGTCCAATTTATCTTCTCTTGATCGTCTGACCGAGTAACGGTGGCCCAAAGCCTCTTTTCCTATACAATAGTTTAGGGCCCCAAAAAATGAAGGGACGGATTTAAAAAAATATTCAGTGGAGTTGGGCAAAGAAAACAAAAAAAAACACCAGTTTACATTTAAGCCTAGATGGCTTGCAACACATTTGTTGCTTTCTTAGCTTTGTGTTAATTAGGTGTGTATTATTTTTGCACACATTCTATAAGGGTTCTCAAAGTTCCAAGCATGTTCTATTTTCTTTCAGTTTGTATATACACATAGCTTAGAAAGGAACACCACATGTTCGATGAAATGTTCGAGTGAACTCCATGCTTGGCTCTTCTAGTTTTGATGCTTCATTGGACATTTAGGAGGGTCCTAGTATCACCCAAAATCTTTCAAGAGTTTTGAATAATGCTAAATTACTCTCATATCAAATAAGTTTTCCTAATTTTTTCTGGACTCAACCAATTCATGTTTATTTTAGTTAATGAGATATGATAGGGAGGGACCAATTCTTTTTTTGTTTGTGCTATTAATAATGTAAAAAAGAATATTAAAATTTTTTTAATACGCATATGGTGTTGACTTGTAAATACCTATTTGGATATATATAAAAGCATAAAAAAATTGACTAATGACTTTGCATCTAAATATTCTAGGCAAATGTTTATATTAAAATGAGTTTTTGTCGTATGTTTATATGAATATTTTTATTATGATGATATATTTTATTGTATACAAAGTATATTTTTTCATATTTTTTACTTATTTTAATTATACTATTAAATACAAGGCCTTGACATTTTCAATTGCACAAGACCGAATATATGATTGGGCGGTACTACCCGGTTTGAGAAAACTTTCGAGGATCGGATTCATTTTTTTTTGTTTAAAATATAAAAAGACACCATGATGGCATAAATGGAGATGAAGGGGAAGTTGGTAGAGAAAAGGCAAAACATGAAATGATGGCCAATGATTGGCGGCAAGAAAAGGTGGGAGCATAGTAGGTGTTTGGATGTTGTTTGGTTGGGCGACATGTATGGTTAACATCCTTAATAAGTTCGGGTCCTACCTTAGATTCAACCTAAATTTCTTCTATAACTTAGACACTTGGTTTGATGTAATAAAGGATGAGTCCTTCAAACCTGATTGGATCTGACAGAAAATAAATTAAATTTTGATCGTAGATTAATAATAAAGTGTAAAGTTTGCATTTACAACTTAGAAAGATCCTATGCTGAGCATGATTACCTTCATGTGCAGTTGTCAGAAATCAAATTTAGATCAATGTATACTTAAGTTTCTAAATAGAACAATTCAAAATAAGTCGATAGAAAATAAAAATGCAACTTACATAATGATGGTGTAAATTATCGACCGGTATATTGTTTTAGCCCGGCAAAAACGATAAACTAGTCTAAAAAATACACCAAACTATAAACACGGAGATTTTTACGTGGAAACCCAAATCGGGAGAAAACCACGGTCCTTTTTTGGCGGTACCTTGCCAACGGGGGATTTTTATTAATATCGGGAGTCTGTACACGGTACATGATTTAGGCTAGGAAGCCATTAATGGAAGCTTGAAGCTTCTTTGAAGAAATAAAATACAAAAGTGCTCTAGAGAGAGAGAGAATAAATGGCAGGGAGGAGAGTGAAATTGGCCTCCCCTTAACATTGAGGGGGAGTCCTCCTTTTATAGGAGTAGCTGGAGCATTTACGGAAGAATATTCTATTATTCCTCTATTTTATTAAACAGGCCCAGTTTGATTGTTCTTCGTAAATAATTGGGAAATGTGAGCCGAGTCATGTATTATTCCCATCACATAATTAAAGAGCACATGTTTTTAAAAAATAGTATGATTAAAATATTTTATTTTATCAAATGTTCGTTGAAAATATATATTTTCTTTGTTCTAAAATGTTTTGCATTTATGCAAAACGAATTAAAATTTCACGTTTTTAATGTTCATTTTATTTAAGAATTGGTATAAAATTAAAAGTAAAACTTACATAAAAAATTCTATTGAACGTGTGTGAACTATACAAATTTTAGTTAAAAAAATCTACCTAGATAGAATTTATATCAAAATCTACCTTGGCATTATGTGTTGACGCTTAAAATATTTACAATTTATATATTGACATCTGTTGGAACATCTAGACTCTAGAGTGTGTTCCATTTTTTCAAAATAATGAACCTCATATCCAAGGATTTCGTTAAAATTATTCGGATAAGATTTTAAGCACAAATTGAACAAATTGACTGGTACCTACACCATTTGAGACCCATGGCTTACGATAGGAGGCTCCTTCAATCCATGAGCCATTATCACGTAAAACCGTCGCACCAAAGCTGCAGCGAGTGACCTCCGCGATCTCTCTAACTACCAACTTTCCCATCCGTTCATTCTTTCAAAATTTTTCGGATCGCCTCTCGACCCGGTACATCCTTTCTCAGTTCTCATCCATTTCTTTTTCTGGGTATTTCACATTGGCATCATCTCCCCACAACTTCTCCGAAAGTTTCAATCTTTACCCATAAAAAAGAAAACTTCGATCCCTCTCTCTTTTCCAGCCTCTGCGAGCGATTCTTGATCTTCCCGGAGAGTTTTAAGGTTCCTCTGTTGATGTCATTGCCTGCTGGAGCGGCTTCGAGTTCTGGGACCATGGGGCTTGATGAGGACCCAGAAGTTTCAGAGGGTAATAATGCCAAATCAATGGCGGATGATGAAACGGACGGGGAAGTGGCCGAGAAGAAGATTTCCAGGCATATGAGTGAGAGCTCTATGTACACTACTGAGGATGAGGATGATGATGAGGCTGATAATAAGATTCAATTGGGCCCTCAGGTTACTCTCAAGGAACAATTTGAGAAAGATAAGGTATGTGAATTATGCAGTTGCAATAATATAGAAGATTCTTGATGCTGGTTTAATGTGTGTTTTTTGTTTTTTGAAAAAAAAAATGGAATTTAGGATGATGAGAGCTTGAGAAGGTGGAAGGAGCAACTTCTTGGGAGTGTGGATATAAATTCTGTTGGGGGTATATTTATTTATTGCGAAGAACATTTTTTTATTATCTTTCTGCTCCAATATTTTATCCTCTTTCTGATGCATATATGAGTTTGGAACCTCAGATAAACAAGAATAATAACAAACCCAGTAAAATATCATAAAAAGTAGGTCTATGTAGACCTTACTACCCTACTATGAAATCTGGAACCTTGGATGTCATTCTACATATTTTATTTTTTGAAATTCAATTGTTTTTTTAAATTGTGTTTTTGAGGAGTTGGGATCTGTTGCCCATTTGCCCATGTTGTTCACCTAAACCATTTGATCTAATCTTTGATCGGATGGTTCCCATCCAGCAAGCGGTCAGGTGGTGTTGTATGTCGATCTTTGCTGTTGGATGGAAAGGGACAACCGGACAAGTAGCAAATCCGGATATGTTGCAGTTAAGAGATATCTATTAGATAGTTTGGATTAAACCTCAGCTTAATCCTTTTGTGAATGCCCAAATGTGACAAATTAGGGTGTGTTTGGATTCGGCTTTCGGCAAAGTATGTTTTGCTAAAATCTGTTATTGAGAAAGATGCCTTCCAAAACAAGGTTTTTAAAATTACTTCATAAAAAGTGCTTTTGAAATGAGCTATTACTTCATAAAAAAGTGCTTTTGAAATGAGCTGAGTCTATGTGGAATACAAACAGCTCTCAACTTTCATTTGTGTTCTGGAAACAGTTTATTTCTACAACGTATTTTTAAAGGTTTAATCCAAAGGGGCACCAGTGTACTCCATAACAGATTGGGAATGAAGAATTTGTTGAGTAGAATTCTTTATCTGTACATCATATCCTATTCTTGACTTCTTGTCAGCACCCAGTACATGTAAGGTCCATTTGATAAAAGCTGTCTGGTTGAACCTCTAGAAATTTTTAGAAGGAAAAACGTCTAATACTATCCATTCTAACCAAACAAGGGCCCGTTTGGTAAGGGTTATTTTGGCTGAAATGGCATATGATATTTGATTTTTCAACCAAATAAGGCTCCGTTTGGTAGCCAAAGCTGGGCTTATCTTGCTTATCAACATTTACCTAGAATCCTGAAAAGGTAGCTTTTGACTCATTTGGCTGAATGGATGTTACCAAAGACGTTACCCTTTCGAAGCATTTAGCAGATTCTATTATATGAGCTAAATAACCCTCACCAAATGACCTCTACAAAAGCCAGATGCTACTTATTTTGCTTCCTATTGCAAGCAGAATAAGCTGATTATGGCTACCAAACGGGGCCTTAACAAGAATTCTGTACTCCGTATTTGATTCTTGGACAAAGAAAATAGCAGGATTTGGGAGTTTATCTAACCGAATATATTGTTTCCTGCCACTACAAAAATTGTAGAAACTCTGGATCCCGAAGTTAAGATTCTGAGCCTTGTAATCAAATCTCCTGAGAGATCAGATATTGTTCTCCCAATCCCTGAAGATGGAAACCCTAGCAGCCCATGGTTTACACTGAAAGAAGGCAGCCGTTACAGCCTAACATTTTCATTCCAGGTCAGCAATAACATTGTATCTGGTTTCAAGTATGCAAACACTGTTTGGAAAACTGGTATAAAAGGTAACCTCTCTTCCCCTACCTACATTCTCAAGTCCAAGATTGTTTTTTTAAAACTTCTTTAACTGAAGAAATGTTTTTTTATTTTTTATTTTTACCATCATCTCAGTGGATGGGACAAAGCAAATGATAGGCACATTTAGTCCTCAGGCAGAGTCTTACACACATGAAATGCCCGAGGAGACAACTCCATCTGGCATGTTTGCTAGGGGATCATACTCTGCCAAGTCAAAGGTTAGTACACATTAGCAGCCTGTTTGGCAAGGATTATCTGGGCTGAAATGTTGGAATGTGCTGGAAGCGTTTGGACCGAATAAATAAGCTAAAAGATATATATAAACAAAATAAGCCTGATAAGGCTACCAAACATCACCTTATTGAATTTTCACTTCAGTTGGAGTGTATGTGGTTAAAATATTACATTCCAAGGACATTTTTGATTGATTTTAATCTTACTACTAATCATTTTTTCCTTGTACAGTTCACGGACGATGACAACAAATGCTACCTGGAGATCAACTACACTTTTGAAATCAAGAAAGAATGGCCAGCAACATAAATGCTGTTATTGATGAACTGCTCCACCTGAAGTGTTCTTGTTTCACTGTTTGAGTTTTTTCTTACCCTTTTTTTCCCTTTCTGGTGGTTTTCTGACGTTGGAAAGGTGGTGGAAAGTCCAATCGAGCTTTTTATCGTTTGTGCGATGATTGAGGGGGGGTTGGGTTTTTCTTTTGACAGTTAGAATCTTGTTTGTTGAGTTTTATAGCTTTCCCCATTTGTGTTCCTTGATGATTAACATTGGAGACTATTATATTAGTCAAGAAATTGTTCTGACTTGAATTGATTCATGTCCACAAAGCTATTGACAATATGAGGGTATGTGCCATTCCTTTTCACACCAGCCTAGAGTGTTTTCATTGTACATGCTTCAAACAAAAAAAAATTGATTCAAACTGATTTTATAAACAACTGAAGTGCCAAATCCTGGATAATTTTTTATAAACCACTTATAGTATTCACTCTCTTTTGGCAATAAGTTTGTGCAGATCTTCAATAATGAGACTTGTCATGGTTTCTGTGCTTGCATAACTAGTTCTAAGTTCTAACACGTTTTCATGCCCAATGCCCAAAATCCACCTGAAAAATAGGGTGTGCAGTTGCAAATGTGGATTCCATGCTTTTAACAATACAAGGTAATGTTTGAGTGACTGAACATGCAATTAAATAGGGAAATGCACAAGCTCTAGCAACAGAAAGTTGCCCAATAATTTTTCTAATCAGATGACTCAATTTGATTCCAAGCACAAGTATTTAAAGTAAATCCAAAGAACTATTTTTTCCACCAAACTTGTGATTAGAGGTTAAAGTATACATTTCAAGATTGCTTCCATTTCATTTTCAATTACATTCTAGAGAGGGAGAGAGATGGAAATGGGAAGAGATGTGAAAAGTGTGGTCAAGTATTGGATGGAGGGAGAAGTTACAAACTTCATAAAGGTATGGACTTTAGCATGCATATCTCTCTGCTATTGCTATTTTGCAGCCAAGCTGGTGCAAAAGGGTGCACCAAGGCTCTTCTCTCTCCTCCCTGTTGTTTGTCTCTTCTTTCTTCTCCCCCTAAGCCTCCACTCCATTAATCTTGG